TTTATGCTATAAGGAAAGACAGAACCAAACTTTCTTCTAATATACCTTGTGCTGTGGAAGAATTCCATAATAAGTAAAAAGCTAAAATAACAATCCCTTCCAGAAATGGAAAATTGTGTGCGAAGTTGATCAAATGGAAGTGAAGCGAAGTTTAAGGACGTTTTAAAAATTATATTTAGAGATTCTGTGAAGTTCTTCTGCAAAAAATGCAGTAAAAAGGTTTTTGGTCGAACATTTTTATTTACCGCACAGCTGGCCTTGCGCCTTGACCAAAGCGTCCATATGTTACCGTGAAGACAACCTATAGAAGGCCGTATTGAATGAAAGTCATATAGAAATATACTTTATTGGAAACAATAGGTTCCGCTCAAACGTTATCTAGAAACCGAACAGACAGAAGAATAATAAGTACTTTAAAATATGGTCATGTATGTGGCCTGTTTTTTTTGCCTTCGCAAGCTTATTGTGGACTGAAATTACCATATAACGGCCAACCTCTTCGTTTATATGCTTAGGTTTTGTAACAAATAATGCACATTTTGTACAATTGCACTCTCGTTCCTAAATGCTCACAGCCATGACAATTGGCCAACCAACTTTAAGCCGGACTTCCTCATGCTCTCGCTGTAGGCGGCTTCTCCACCATAAATTTCCTGCTCGGGATGCCATGTTCACGCGGTAGATGTGTGTTGTTAACCTGCTACTAACTAACTCTTATCTGCAGACTATTTCTCTTTGCATAATAAATTGTCACCTAAATTCTCTTTATCACATTAGTTCGAGATAGGGCTGGATTTTCGTTATGACTGGAGTCCTCATAGGACGACACCCTCTAGCTGATTGAAGCTGTTGTTGTAGATTTCGTATAGCAGCCCAAGCAAAACGAAAAAAAAAACAGGAGCAATGCTGTTGGTGATGCAGTGTGTGCACACATCGCCAACTTCTTTTCAGTAAAAATTACGTTTGAGGTACGCAAGCAAAGTGGCACTCATCTACACACCGAATCATATCGTTGGGTTTGATTTCTAACAAGTGGCCTGCTATGTGTCATGGAGAGACAGTACACTTCTCTATTAATTTGACGCCATATATCTTGGCTTATATCAGGATACTCGCGAATCCGCACTGAACTTTGAAGTAAGGGAGTGTATGTATCTTCTTTGCATTCCTTGACACCTGTCAGGGCTCTTTGCTATTGCGTCGGAAAACTAAATGCAATGTGCACTCCGAAGTATGAAGGTCTATGAACCATTCAAATTTAGTTTGTGGCACTTTGGCTACTTGGCCTCTCACTGGTCTCTCTCTCTCTTAGGTCTACTCAGACATGTCAAAGAGCCTGATTACAGCTGTTTGTGATATCTCCATCTAAAAATTTGCCTGCCCTTACAATATTTTTGCTCTGTAGCCTATCCTAAAGCCATTCCAGTTACAAGGGGACGCATACATTCTGTAGATCTTCCTTCTCTCCCCTTATACAATAAATGTACTTCAGAAATGACACTTAAATGGTCTAACTTTTTATAATTAATTACGACTGTA